TAGAGATAGAGATAGAGATAGAGATAGAGATAGAGATAGAGATAGAGATAGAGATAGTTGGATAGAGATAGTTGGATAGAGATAGTTGGATAGAGATAGAGATAGTTGGATAGATGGGTAGATGGAATAGGGACTGAAAGTCATTTAAAATATCATTCCTATATAGAATCGACGTATGATACACTTACATATGTATGGCTGTAATATATTTGAGTCGGCTTTATTCAGAGCTGCCTACGCAGTTGAAATAATGTTGTGACAAATAGAATTACAAATATTACTCAGATATGTATATAATGTACTCGTTGTGGGCTCGGAAGCTATAAAAACAAAGTACCGTTATTAGAAGAGGGAAAATATACTTGAATTCAATTAAGCGAGGATGGGGAAACGTGAAAAAGGCAGCCAAATGGCCAATTGCCTATTTGAAGTACTTGCTGAAATATAAAATTATAAATATGTATATAGAGCACACACATATAGAGATATGTATATACAGATAGAGAGAAAGAGAGAGAGAGAGAGAGAGTGGAAGAGAGTGATATGCTGGCCGTGTGCACAATTTGCCTCATTTTGTTGCAAATTTATTGAAAAGCCGATAAAAAATTTCCGTTTCCTTTTTGCTTTCCGTTGCCATTGCAGCATTACACAAAAAGAGCCGCCCGCAAGCGAGGCACGCCCACTCCCTAAAATAGAGAGCAGAGAAGGTGAGGCCCAACAGGGCCACAGCTCCAGCTCCAGTTCCATCTCCTGCTCCAGTTCCAGTCTCAGTTTCAGTTTCAGTTCAAGTTGAGCTAAACGCGTTCAATGAGCTGGAAATATCGGCCAGCGGCAGGAGAAGGTCGTGGATGAAAATGAAAACGGGATGCGCGACTTCGCAGCAGCAGCAGCAGCAGCGATTAGCAAGCAAAATGAATGCAGCAATAAATGATAATTGAATAATTATGAATAAACGTGACACCCAGACAAAGGCCCGACGCGAATAAGCGGTAAACTCAAGCGCCCAAAACGCGAACGCGAACGCGAACGTGAGCGCGCACGTGTCCCTGTATATGTGTGAGTGTGCATGTGTGCATGTGTGCGTGTATGTGGGATTAGTGCCTGTCCGCGTATGCGTATGCGTGTGTGTGTGTGTGTGTGAATGGGCAGTCTATATAGCGCGCTTTTCGCACACTCGATTCGATTGAAAATTCGTCCATTTATTTATTTTTTTTTTTACATTTTTTTTTTCTCGTTCGCCTCAAAAGTGACGTGCAGAAAGAAATATTTGTAATTGATATGGAAAAATGATATGATGAGATGATAATGAAAGTAATGTGCATGGTGCTGAAG